CAGTTCAAGTCCCAGACTCAGTGGCTTAAACTCACACTGGGCGCGTGTGCATGTGTGCCCAAGATCCTGAGAGGAGAATGGAGGAGAAGGGATTGCATGTGGCCGTCCCCCCTGGGGGGTGATTTCTCGCTTTCTGTCTCTCTGTGTCTTTCTGGCGAGCACACACACCCTATAGCACCCCCCCAAAAAAAAAAAAAAAGAGCATTAAGAAGGGACCAGCGGGTGGTGTGGTGATTAAGGTGTTGGACACTCCCCAGTGGCTGACCACGGTTGGAGTCCCAGACCTGGCAGCTTGTTTTCTTGCTTTCCTCTCTCTCTCTCTCTCTCTGTGTCTCTCTCTGGTCAAATTAAAATAAATGAATGAATAAATAAAAATAATTATTTAAAAATGCATTAAAAAATACTTAATGACTGCAGTAAGCTATACAGCCCTAGCTAGGTGCGACTTCAGAGTATGTTTACTTACTGAGGTTTACATCTAAAGTCAGACATGTGTTCATAAATATGTATATATCAGCTCTGCTTACTATTGAACATTTTAAAATTAATTAAGACTTTAGTGAATCAATAGAATGTGGGGGGAGTTGAAGGCATGGAAAATAACTGTAGATACCAGAGACAGTGTGGGAGGACAGTGGGAAGGAAATAGCAGAGGGTGAGAGGTAGGAAACCAACGGGAAAAAAAAAAGCACAAAATATATAAGAAACAAGAAATGGAAAATTATTGGTTGATGATAACGTGTATGATAATATCCTCTCTCTCTGTGTGTCTCTTTCTGGTCAAATTAAAAGAAATGAATGAATAACTAAAAATTAAATTAATAATTAAAAACAAAAGAATTATTTAACTTTATTAATTATTATTATTTTTTTCAGTTTCATCAGACAGAGAAAGAGAGAGGAAAAGTGAGAAAGCAAGCCACTAGGTCCAGGTCTTGAACTGTGATCTGCCATGTAAGAGCCCAGCACCTTTAGACACCACACCACCTGCCAGCCCTTCCATGCAGTTGTCTTTTTTTGGGAGAGGTTTTTGCTATAGGGCGTGTGCACTCGCCAGACAGACAGAGAGACACAGAGAGATAGAAAGCGAGAACTCACCCGCTGGGGAAGATGGCCATGCTGCAATCCCTTCTCCTCCATTCTCCTCTCGGGATCTTGGGCACGCACGCACACGCGCTCGGCGTGAGTTTAAGCCACTGGGTCCGGGACGCGAACCGCAGTCGGCTACACGGGAATTCAGCGACATAGCCATTATGCTAACTGCTGGTCCCTCCCTGCAGTTTTTAAATAGTACTCATTATCTGTGAACTTTTTCAATAACCTTTGTACATATTGCAAATATTTTCACCTAACCTACTCTTTATCATTTGACTCAGTAGTTTCTGTCATATGAAATGTAAAAAATTTACATAGATCTATCAAACTTTCTAACTAGCTGCTCTATTTATGCCAGGCCTAAACATATTAAAACACATGCCACTTTAACTTTTTGTTTTTTTTAGAGGTTTTCGCTATAGGTGCTCATGCCCTCGCCAGACGTAGAGAGACATAGAGACAGAAAGCGAGAAATCACCCCCCGGGGGGATGGTCACACCGCAATCCCTTCTCCTCCATTCTCCTCTTGGGATCTTGGGCACGCACGCACATGCACCCGGCGTGAGTTTTAAGCCACCGGGTCTGGGACGCGAACCGCAGTCAACTATGTGGGAGTCCAGCGACATAGCCATTACGCTAACTGCTGGTTCCCAACTTTAACATATTTTTAAAGTTTTTTTTCTTTTTAATTGCCAGAGGCCACTTATACTTGCCAGAGAGAGAGAGTAGGGAAGAAACACCTCCCACAGGAAATGATCATGATCACGTCGCAATCCCTTTTCTATTTCTCCAGCCTGTTGGGATTTTGAGCATGTGTGCACATGTGCCCAGAGTGTGTGTGTGTGTTTTAGAGATTTTTGGTATAGGGCATGTGCACTCACTAGAGAGACAGAGAGACAGAAAGTGAGAAATCATCCCCCAGGGGGATGGCCATGCCACAATCCCTTCTCCATTCTCCTACAGGGATCTTGGGCACACACTCACATGTGCCTGGCATGAGTTTCAAGTTGCCAGGTCCGAGAATTAAACCACAGTTGACTATGTGGGAGTCCAGCGACATAACCATCACGCCATCTGCTGTTCCCAACCCAGTGTGTGTTTCTTTCTTTCTTTTTTTTTTAAGAATTATTTTATTTAACTTTAATTATTTATTTATTTAAATTTGATCAGAGAGAGACAGAGAGAGAGAGAGAGAGAAGAGAAAGCAAGCCCCCAGGTCTAGGACTAGAACCATGGGTGGCCACGAGGGAGTCCAGCACCCTTAACCACCATGCCACCTGCTGGCCCCCCAGTGTGTGTTTCAAGCTACTGAGGCTGAAATTTGAACAACACAATCAGTCACATGAGATCCATCTTCCTAAACACAAGCCCTTGGGGCTGGCCCACTTTAACATATTTTTAAGAACCCAAACTTGGGACCAGTAGATGGCCTAATGGTTATGTTGTTGAACTCCCACATGGCTGACCACAGTTTGAGTCCCAAATCTGGCAGCTTGAAACTCATGCCGAGTGCGTGTGTGTGCATAACCCAAAACCCAAGAGGAGAATGGAGGAGAAGGAATTGTGGCATGGCCGTCCCCCCTGGGGAGTGATTTCTTGTTTTCTGTCTCTGCTCTTCAGTGAATGCATAGACTCTATAGCAAAAAAAACTCTCCAGGGGCCAACAGTTGGCGTAATGGCTACGTTGCTGGACTCCCATGTAGTTGACCACAGTTCAAGTCCCAGACCTGGTGGTTTAAACTGACACTGGGCACGTGTGTGTTTGTGCCCAAGATCTTGAGAGGAGAATGGAGGAGAAGGGATTATGGTGTGGCCATCCCCACAGGGAGGTGATTTCTTGCTTTCTATCTGGGGGAAACCCCGGGCTGAAAAAAAAAAAAAAAAAAAAAAAAAAAAAAAAAACTCTGCAAAAAAAAAAAAAAAAAAAGAACCTAGTCTTTGTATCATTGTATCATTATTTTTTTCATAAATTTTTAAAAGAATTATTTTATTTAACTTTATTTATTTATTTATAAATGATTAGAGATGGAGAGAGAGAGAGAAAGTGAGAAAGGAAGCCACCAGGTCCAGGACTTGAACTGCAGTTGGCCATGTGGGAGTCCAGTGCCCCTACCCACCACATCACCCGCTGGCCCCCATTATTAAAATTTTTCTACTGATGTTAAAGTCTACCTTTATTATTTATTCAATTTCCATGTGTATTTTGGGTATCTTTATTTTGTTTCATTCATCTATTATTTTATAACAAACTGGTTTAGTTACTCTTCTTTTTTAAATTTATTTTTAAAGAATTATTTTATTTAGGGGCCGGCAGGTGGTGTGGTGGTTAAGGGCACTGGAGTCCCACATGGCCAACTATGGTTTGAGTACCAGATCTGGCAGCTTGCTTTTTCACTTTCCCTCTTTCTCTCTCACTCTGTCCCTCTCTGGTCAAAAGAGAGTAAGAGTGAGAAATGGAAAGAGAGAGAGAGGGAGAGGAAAAGTGAGAAAGCCAGCCACTGGGCCTGGGATTCGAACCACAGTCGGCCATGTGGCAGCCCAGTGTCCTTAACCACCATTCCACCTGCTGTCCGGGACTTGAACCATGGTTGACAATGTGGGAGTCTATCACCCTTAACTACCACACCACCTGCCGGCCCCTCTCATTACATTTTCTAATGGATTAATATTCCTATGGCTGGGGCCTGTAGGTGGGATGGTAGGTAAAGTGTTGGACTCCCACATGGTTGACTGTAGTTTGAATCTTGGAACTGGTGGCTTGCTTTCTGACTTGCTCTCTCTCTCTCTCTCTCTCTGTGTGTCTCTCTGGTGAGTGTGCATGCCCTATAGCAAATTTAATAATAATAATAATAAAAGTAAATAATTCTTTTAAAATATTCTTATGCCTAAAAGCTATTATTTTTATGTATTAATATTGTAACCAGGCACTATTATTATTATTATTAATTTATGCCAGAGGGTGCACACATGTTAAAGAGCAGAGAGAGAGAGAGAGAGTGAACCTCCCCACAGGGCATAGTCTTTCTGCAATTCTTTTCTCTTCCTTTCTCCATCCCATCAAGATCTTGGACACACCCGTACATGCCTGCCCTGTGTGTTTTTCTTCCTTCCTTCCTTCCTTCTTTCTTTTTTTCTTTTCAATTTGCCAGAGGGCACGTGCACTAGCCAGAGAGAGCGAGAGGGAGAAAGTGCCCCCCAGTAGGACCATGCCTCTATTCCCTCTCAGTTCCTCTGTCAGGATTCTGGGCATGCATACCACACGTGCCCAGTGTGTTTTTCAAGCTTCTGGAACTGGGATTCAACCTGGGGTCAGCCATGAGGGATCTGGCTCCCTTAACCACTAGGTTATGAGGCTGTCTCAAGAACCCCAAATTCTTTTTAAAATTTTCAGATTGATGGGACCAGCAGTTAGCGTAATGGCTACGTCACTGGACTCCCACGTAGTTGGCCGTGGTTCGAGTCCTGGACCCGGTGGCTTAAACTCACGCCGGGCGTGTGTGCGTGCGTGCCCAATATCCCGAGAGGAGAATGGAGGAGAAGGGATTGTGGCGTGGCCATCCCCCCTGGGGGGTGATTTCTGGCTTTCTGTCTCTCTGTCTCTCTCTGTCTGTCTGGTGAGCGCACGCGCCCTATAGCAAAAACCTCTTCAAAAATAAAATAAAATAAAATAAAATTTTCAGATTGATTTTACATGAAGTCCCCATCAGGGTGTATGTAATATTTTATATATGCATATATATGTAAATATATATATATTCCGACAGAGAACTTTACACGCTTTGCCTGTGAAATGTTTTTTCTTTTCGTACCTCACACCCACCCTCTACCATCCCCCCTTTACCATCCATTCTCTTAGTAAAGAACCCTAGATTCTAACCCTTCCCTTCCCTTTCGTGTCTTCTCAGGATGTGGGCTCCTTGGATGAGAAGATGAAGAGCTTGGATGTGAATCAGGACTCAGAGCTCAAGTTCAATGAGTATTGGAGACTGATTGGGGAGCTGGCCAAGGAAATCAGGAAGGAGAAGGCCCTGGAGATCCGGAAGAAGTAAAGCCGGCAGGGCAGGGCTGGGCAGGGCCAGGCAGAACTCCTTTCCCCGCAATAAATCGTCCTGCTTGAAACACAGGTGTTTCTTACTCACACCTGCCCTGATTTCTTCTCTTGAGACCAGGGAGGAGCTGAGGGGGTCTGAAAATTATGAGCTCCTTAAGGACAGGTCATGTTATTCATCTTCAAATATTCCACGGCATCCAGCACCAAGTCTTGTACAGAGCAGGTGGTCAATAAAGAAATGGTTGATGGGTGGGACCAGTAACTGGTATAATGGTTATGTCACTGGACACTCATGTAGTCTATCATGGTTCAAATCCCGGACCTGGCAGCTTAAAATTCACACTGGGCACGTGTGCGTACGTGCCCAAAATCCCAAGAGAAGAATGGCGGAGAAGGGGTTGTGGCATGGCCATCCCCTGGGGTTGGGGGGGTGACTTCTCACTTTCTATCTCCCCCGCGAAAACAACTGAGCCCAAAAAAAAAAAAAAAAAAAAAAAAAAAAAAAAAAAAAAAAAGGTTGATGAATGAATATATGAAGGGCAGAGACAGAAATCTGGCACTCAGTTGCATGGCCCTGGCTTCATTTTCTTATTCCTGGGGTTTGTCCCCTGGATGATAACGAGTCTGAAAAGTGACCATGTGTGGAGGGTTTACTATGTGCCAGGAACGGCGGGACACATTTCACCTACATTATCTTAGTTAATTCTCACAGCCCTTTGAAGTAGGTAAAGTAGGTACTATTTTTACATTCTGTATTCAAGATGAGGAAGCAGATTTCAGAGAGGTTAAGTCACAAAAACAAGAGTGGGTGAAGCTGGATTGGAATTTCAGAGAATCTGATAACAAGGATCCTCTCTGGATAGGCCCTTGGGAACACTAAACCACCCCCGCCCGCTACCCCTGCCGTCTCTTCTACGTGGCAGGGGTGAAGCAGAGGGAGAAGGGACACCAAATTCCGTTGAAGGATTGGGATGAAGGTCTGGGGCCAGTCCCCCAATGCAGAATTGGCCATAAGTCTACTACCCTTCCTGTCCTAGCCGGCTGGAGGAGCGTGTAGTTTGCCTTCCCGCCACCAGAGGGAGCAGGGGCGGGGTGCCTCAGAGAGGGCAGCTCAGCAGGGCTCCCAGCTGTCACTGCCAGACTGTCAGGTGTCCATGTGGCGCCACTAGTCCAGAGAAACCTTTAGGCTGACACACCACAAAAGGGTTGCAGACTGAGACCCTCCCAGACAGAGCTCTCAGTGGGCCCTCGGACTCAGACTCTAGAGGGACTTTAGTGGAGACATCCAGAGGCTCTCCTGCACCAGGGCTCCCCACGGTGAGACACCGACTCTGGAGACTGCGACTCCTCAGAGGGACTCCAGGCTGAGGAACTCTCGGAGAAGCCCCGTAGAAGCCTTCAGATTGAAGGGACCCCTTCTGAAACTCTTCAGAGGAACTCTCAGAAGGAGACACTTTTGGAAGAGACCCTTAAGGTGGGCCCCTAGACCAGAAGCACATGGGAGCCCTGGAAGGTGACTCGGGAAGGGGCACTGGAAGAATCTGATCTGAGAGTTTAGAAAGGTGCCTGGAACTTTAGCTCTGAGCCTCACCCATCCTTGCCCTGTCCCGTGCTAAGCCCTCTGCCCCTCTTCCTACCTCCTCCCTGTCACTTGTAGTTACAGGCCCCTGGCCTGAGCAGGCGAGGAGGGCCACCAGGTTGAACCGAGTTCCTGGAGGGTCCTTGGGGTGCCATCCCGGGTACTGGATTGCAGGGGTGGGGGCTTCCTGTTCTGAGTTAGGGAAGCACGGGCTTCTGCGGGAGGGAGGAGCAGGCAACCCAACCTGCCTGAAGAGATGAGCAACTGCCAGGGAGCCCACCTGGGCCTTGCACACCTGCCCGCTGGGCTGCTGAGGGGGCTGCAGGGAGGTCAGGTCAGCACCCACCCGGCTCCTCTACTGAGCTGCCCTGCTCTTTCCTCTGCCCCCACTCTGCCTTTACTGGGGAAGGCTGGGATTGAGAGTCCAGAGAGGCCCCCACCGAACTCCCTTCATGTCCCTCCTTCCCTTCTGTTCACAAGCCCTGCCTTGATCAGCCTCTGCTTCTCCGTCTTTCCTGCTTACTGACTCAGACACCCCCTTCCTTGCCGCACAGTCCCTTAGGCCCTTCTGCTCTGAGGGTGGACCCCATGGTGTCTCCAGGTCCTCCCTCCCTCTCTCTCTGACTTCCCTTTCCCTGTCTCTCTAAGATTCTGTGTGCCAAAGACCAGAGGCATCCCAGACCCAGCCCTCCTTGAAGCCCTCTTCGGCAGGGGTGGGGCAGGCTCTGGAGTGCTGGCCAGCGGAGGGTGGGGCTCACAGGGCTGGCTCATGGCCTGGGCAGTGCAATAGCAGAGGTGGCTCAGGGAGGAGGCCCAGCCCCCTGCCTCCCCTCCCTTCCCCCAGGTATAAGAGCTGAGCTCAGGTGAGCTGGCTTCTCCCACCCAGTCTCAGCGGCTGCTAGCAGGTAAGGAAACCCAGGGCTTTTCACCCAAATGGGCTGCTCCCTGTCCTGACGGCTCACTAAGCTTTCTGATCTTAGACTGCAGGGGAAGGGCCAGAGGTGGGGCAGCTCCAGGTCCTGGAGTTTGGTGTGTGTGTTTGGAAAGGTGGGGGTTGGAGGAGGTGGGAGGAATGAGACTAAGGGAGGCCAGAGGGATTCCCTCTGAATGCCTTGGCCTGGGGACTATGCTCTTAGCTCCTGGAGCCGGGCAGGAACTGGGCCTGGGCTCCTGGGGATGGAGCCAAAGGGGGCAGTGGAGAGAGAACTGCTGAACTCCCCTCACCCCAGGCCTCCTCCTTAGGCAGATCATGAGCCATCAGCTCCTGTGGGGCAGACTGTAGAACACAGCTCCGCGAGGGACGAGGGTCGAAGCCCGCCAGCACCATGGGACAGTGTCGGTCAGCCAATGCCGAGGTGGGCCCCTTCGTTCCTGGCCTGCTTTCTGTTTCCATGTTCCTCTCCTCCACTTCGAGGGTCTATGCCCCCTGCTGATGTCTGCCCCTCACCTTGGCCTTGCCCTGCACCCCAGACTCAGCCTGGGAGAGCTGACCCTCACCCCTGAGCCCACACAGGGTGATGCAGATGGAGTCCTCCTGGGAAGAGGATGCCTGGGCACGTGCTGGGACCTGCCCTGCCTGGGGCTGGTGGGTGGTGGGAAGGAAGCCTTGCCTAACCGGTGGCTCTGGGCAGAGGCTGCTGTGGCCCAGAGGCTGGGGTGGGGGTCGGGGGAGAAGGCCTGGATACTGGGCTTTGGAGTGGGTGGCAACCCAGGTGCCTTCCAGCTGTCTTCTGCTCTGTTGGCATTGCCAGACTCCTGGGAGAGCAGGGTGTTGTAGGACGGGTGAAGGCTCCCTGACATGGGTGATGTCCCTGCCCTCAGGATGCCCAGGAATTCAGTGATGTGGAAAAGGCCATTGAGACCCTCATCAAGAACTTCCACCAGTACTCGGTGGAGGGCAGGAAGGAGACGCTGACCCCTTCGGAGCTCCGGGACCTGGTCACCCAACAGCTGCCGCACCTCATGCCGGTACTGAGGGAGTGGATTCTGCCCCAGCCAGCACCCTGACTGCCTGAGCGAGTGCTCTAAGACCCCACCCACATGGGCACTAGCAACCCCAGCCCTTCCCTTGCCAGGGCTGGGTAGACCCAGGCCCTGCTGCCTGCCCCTGGGCAGGGTGGAGTGGGAAGACCTGAAGGCGCGGCCTCCTGAGCTGTGGTGTCTCCCTTCCCCACAGAGCAACTGTGGGCTGGAGGAGAAGATTGCCAACCTGGGGAGCTGTAATGACTCCAAACTGGAGTTCGGGAGCTTCTGGGAGCTGATTGGAGAAGCAGCCAAGAGTGTGAAGCTCGAGAGCCCTGTGCCCGGG